TATATTGTTGGTTTAAATATATAGATTTTTTATATTTAATTCTATTATATATATCCAGATATAAACCCTCATAATTGTTTGTGATTCAAAAACATTATTAATTGTTGATTACTAATAATATATATCAAAAGTTATAGCGTTTTACCATAATTCTATATTAATGTCGTTATAAAAATTAGACTCTTGACAAAATTAATTCAATAAATATCCCTAACTTGATAACCCTAAATATTAATTATTAATTCTGGTCTTAATTAACATACAACTCCGCGCTGGGCGCGGGGACCTCCCCTAGTGTATATATATGTTAATCCATTGTACTTGTATCAATACCGTATTGGGGATGGCCAACCACAACCGTGCTGGAGTGAACCGAGTTCAATTCCTGAATGTTTGTTATCGAGTCTTGAAACTCTCAAATGGGTAAGATATTGAGGAACAAAAGAAGAGAAACAACTAGCGGCATTCATCTTAAGAAACGCAAACTGTTTGAAGAAGGCAACTTTCTCCCCCTCTAAATCCATCGACCACGACAAGAAATCTAAAATGCTTAAAGAGTTGTCATCATCGCCTATGTCGTCAATATGTCAAGTAACAAACATCTTTAATTGGTTGGTAACTTGATCTTGAAATCTTAGATAAGCTATTGAGAGACGTTATTATGTTGAAAAACTATTCAAGTCCTAAAATTATCGTATCGATCTGAATCTTTTATTAGTTTGTGAATACAACAAATAGTGAACACTCTATTGAAGAATGTTTACTCAATTCTAAAAATAAAGTTCACGCGTCTATAAAAGCTTTCATTAATCTAAAAAGTCTACATCAAACGAATATTTACATACAATTTACCTAGAAGAAGATACCTTATTATTCTCATTGCAACTAGAATATACAAGTTGTCAATATAATATAAGTATATAACAAAACAAATAGTATTGGAAACGCAATTAAACGAAGACCACAGGCGTTGAATCAGCTAGTGATAGATGATTAGTAATAAATAAGCCTCAAAATTAGTTAAGGAAGCAAAAGACTATAATTAACAAAAAGTCTTAAACTTGATTAATGTGATAAAAAAAACTTGATTAATAATTTTATAATCAAAGATGATAAATGCTAATTAAGACAAGGACATAAAGTAAAGAGAAAACAAGGAACGAGTTGGGGTTAGAAGAGGACGTGGTTGGGTTGTTTTGTTTTGTTTCCTTCCACTCTTTCTTCTTCATTTCCTCTTTCTTTCTTTTCTTCTCCATTTTTTCTCATATCCTTGGACAAAAAAATTAAGCCTTTTTCTGGGTTTGATTTTCTATAAAGGAATCGAAACAAGGAAGAACAGATTTGAAAAAGATTCTTGGGTTTTCAAGAAAAAGTAGAGACATTTTAATTAAAGGTATGACCGTATGAGCATGTAAAAAAACTGGGGTTTTCTTTTAACAAAAAAAAAAAAACTGGGTTTTTCTTTCTTTCTTTAGATTGTGTTTCTTTATTTCTTTATTTTTTTTTTGTTTGAGAAAATATATGACAAAGGAAGAAAATAAAAAGCTAGAAATTTGATTCCTTTTTTCAGGGTTTTGTTTCTCTTTTTTGATCTTTTACAAGATTCTGGGTTCTTCAGATTTTTTTTTTTTTTTTGGGTTTAATTCTTTGTGGGTTTTATCCAAATTGGTGTAAAAATCTAAGCTTTGTCTGAATTTGATTGGTATTAAATTTTGATATTAATGACAAAATCTGTATAAAGTTATAAACTTTTAAGGGTCTTAGATCTGAATTTAGAACCTGAAGTGGAAGATGATTGACAAATTAACATATATCTAGGGTTTCATTGTGTGTTCTTCTTGTTTGCAGAATTAAGAGATTTGGGGTTGAAGGAGGATAGGTATGGAGGAAACAATGGCAGCTAGGTATTGGTGTCACATGTGTTCACAAATGGTGAATCCAATAATGGAATCTGAGATCAAATGTCCCTTTTGTCAAAGCGGATTCATCGAAGAAATGAGTGGTAATAGCGGTGGTGGTGGAGGTAGAGGCATAAGAGATGTTCAAGATTCAGAAACCGATTTTGGAACAGACCGTGCATTGTCTCTATGGGCACCAATCTTGCTTGGAATGATGAGTAGTCCTCGGAGACGAAGAAGGTTTAGAAGATCAGAGTTTGGTGAAGAGAATGATGATAATGGTGATGAATTGAGTAATGCTGATGGGAATGATAATAATAATAACAGTAATGTGTATTATCATCATCGAGCTAGGCGGCATGGTGGAGAGATTGATTTGGATAGAGAGTTTGAGTCTATCTTGAGGCGAAGACGAAGAAGCTCGGGGAATATATTGCAGTTACTTCAAGGGATTCGTGCAGGGATTGCTTCAGAGTATGAAAGTTCTGATAACGATTGGGATAATTCTCGTGAGAGGGATAGTAATAACAATAGAGTTATAATGATCAATCCGTATAACCAATCGCTCGTTGTTCAGGGATCTTCAGATCAAAATCCGAATCATCCTTCATTGACTTCACTTGGAGATTACTTCATTGGACCTGGTTTAGATCTTTTGCTTCAGCATTGGC